CGTGTGGCCAGGTGGATACAGATCGCCCAGCGTGCGAATTCCGGGTGCACGCTTGCCAGCTGTGTGAGCCTGCCCTGTGCCCCTCTCTTCCCCTGGGAACTGGGGGTTCCGAAGTATTGGACAGGAACTGGCTTCTAGTAAGGGCGCACTGCGTAGGAGCTGCTCTTAGTATTATCTCATTTAATCTTTGCACCAACCCTGAGGACTGGGTACCTTCATTCCCGTCTTGCACATGAGAATTTGGAGGCTTGGAATGGTGAGAAATAGTTGTCTGAGTGACTTTGGGCGAGTCAGGTCCTCTTTCTGGGCCTTTTTCCCCCATTGGTGGTTGATCACAGAACATGAGAATCCAAAAGCCGCTCCAAGAGCCTCGAATCCAAATTCCCTCACCTTATAGCCGGATAAACTGAGGCCTAGAAAGGGAGAAACTGTTGGCCGAGGTCACCTGTTAATCAGACGCAGAGCCAGGGCTGGGAACCAGGTGTCCTGCCTCCCGGCCAAAGCCCTTCCCACCAGCCGGCTGCCCGGAGACTGGCCCTCCGACAGGAGAGGCTGAGTCCTGCCTCCCCCTCAGAAGCGCTTCCTCAAAGCGCACAGGCCTTGGTAGGCTTGTCAAACCCAACTGCAGAGACAGCCAGGGAAGAAAAGGAGGCCGCCTCCCCCCCGAACAAAGAACCCCACAACCAAGCCTGCAATTTGCACTGGAGACGTTCAGTTTGCTTCCTGGACATTTCTGAAATGACTTACCTTTCTCCTCATTTATTTTAAGCCCTAGGCGCTTTTCATACCACGATTTAATCTTCTTTAGCAGCCTAGAAAAATACAAATCAATTAAAGCCAAAAACCTATTGGGTAATCATTTTTTCCTTCCTCCCCCCTCCCCCCCAGATCGAGAAGTGTCTGCACCCTGTGCCTTTCATCCCGGCTAATTTGGCTGCAGTGACTCTCGTTCAAGGGACGATCACTTTGGATAGCTTATTACAGCTCTTCTCACGACATTCCTGCTGTGCATGTCACAAGTCGCTAGGATCAAGAACCGAGTCAGTTTTTCTCTCAGGGGCTCTTGGGGCCACCAGCCGAGGTAGTGCTGTATCCCTGGAGGACTTGGCAGCCCCGGGAAGCCCCCGGAGGGTGGCAGGGAGCCAGGCGCACAGGGCAGCCCCTGAATGCTAGTCCCCGCTGCTTTGGAACGGGAACAGCGAGCGGGATCCTGGGGTCCGGCGGGTGCGTGGGCCCTGGCGGAGGGCTGGAGCATTTCAGGCCTTTGGTATCACACCCCCAAACCCCCAACCACAGTCGACCTTATGTCTCTGGTGGACCCTCTCAGAGGGAAGGAGGGAGATACTCGAGTTACGAGCCCGGACTTTATAAAGTCAGGCAGAGGTGAGCGGGGAAATGCTGGCTTGCTCGCTTCCCAGCATCTGTCACGTGGGGACAGCTGTGGTACCCTGTTCATGGGACTTGTGGTGGGGCGCGTCCAGGGTTTTCCTGGAGCCCCGTCGAGTAACCTGTGGTTATGAGGATCGGGGGTGGCGGGCGAGCCTTCCTGGCTCCGGTTGCGAGCTAGAGCACCTGCACTGCCCCCAGCCACCTCCTGCAAACGCCCCTTTGCATACTGTGCCCCACCCCCCCGTTCCTGACACCCCATCCCACTTCTCTGCTCTATCTACGTTCCATTCACTGGTCCTCCTTGTCTGCCTCCGTCTCTAAAAGGTAGTTCCTGCAGGGCGGGGAATCTCACCTGTTTTGTTTAATGTCATAGCCCAGCACCCTAAATAGTGTCCTGCACACAGGGGACCCCCACTGCATCCCCTCCTGCCTGCCCACTTCAGAGACGGGAGGTGCTGAGTGCGGGGAGGTTGCCTGGCCCTGGACCAGCCAGTCCCCAGTGGAGCTGCGCTGCTCTGTTGGCAAACACAGGCGCCATGGCTCCCGGGGTGGACTCGGGCCACTGCCGCTGAAGTGCGCTCCATTCTGTTTACAGTGGACCCACTCGGGTTTACGGGGCCAACTGTCAGGGTCCCTTCGGGTGCGGCTCCTTTATGGCAGCCTGGCTGCGTTTCAGCTCCCTGCCCAGGACTCGGCTGTGTCTCCCAGCCCTCCCAGGTTCTCTGACTTACTGCTCCCATCGAGGCTCGGAGGCCATCCTCTGGTCTGTCCTCCTTGCGTTTCCTTTCATCCCCGACACCATCTCCTCTTGCCACAGGGACGGCCTCCCTGGCGCCAGCCCTGCTCTGGGCTCGAGGTGCTGAGGGACACACAGAAGGAAGTGCCTCCCAGCTCCAACCTGTCCTCACGCCTCTCCACCTGGGACCTACCGGGAAGCCTGGAAAGTGTCCTTCCCCATGTCCTTCCCTTGTAGCATCTCACTCGGGTCCTCCCTCCCTCGCAGCCTCCTCTGACCCTGCTCACGTGGGGCACATCCAGGCCTGGGGTCCAGGTGTGCTGGTCCAGGGGTGCGGGGTCGGCCGTGTGGCAGCTTCGAGGATGCTGGTTACCCGTCAGGAAGCCTGGGGCCTGGGGTTGGGGGGTCCGTGGCACAGGTTTGCTGTGACATCCTGGACATGAGCCCCCTCCCCCCAAAGTAAAGGGGAGTTCATCTGCTGAAGTCCCTTCTAACTCTTACCATTCCACAAATCTGTGACCTGGAGCATTTGGTGTGTGCTCAGCAAAATTATGATGTCACGGAGGGGAGAACCCATAGCCTTTCTGCTCCCAGGGCAGATTCTAGAGGCGCTGCGGACCGCCTGGACCGCACGAGACAGTGAGGCACCAGGAGAGAGCTCTGCGCTCGGCAGTCACATTCCCAGTCAGGGTCATCCTGCAGTTAGCAGGAGGCAGGGAGGAGGGGCCCGGGCAAACCGGAATCAGGGCCCTGCCCCGACCAGAGCTGGGAAGGCGCAGCCCAATGCCGACCCTTCCTCTGCTTGGTCCACCGGAAAGAATCCCACCAACTGCAGTGGCCGATGTTTTAAAACAATTTGAGTCCAAGCTGATAGAATCAGGTTTTACATGCTGTGGCACATTCCCTGATCCCAGTTTTCACTGACACCACAGGGAGGCACTGGAGGCTGTGCCGGGGTGTGTGTGTGTGAGAGAGAGAGAGAGAAAGAGAGACCCACCGTCTGGAAAGACTGGAAACCAGAGAAATTCTTATCCACAGTGGAGGGAAGGAAGTCATATTTTACCACAAAGAATGTGTCCTTCCGGGATAAACGGGTTTGGGCCAGGCTCAGCTCTCTCGTGGGCAGCCTGGGGGGTCTTGCACGGGAGGGCTCATTCCCTTCTCTGCAGAACGGGGGTGACTGCTGTAGTCCCTGCCCTCCAGGTGGTGGGGACCGCATGCAGCACTCCGCCAGGAGGGCCATGCACCCGGCACCCGACTGCAGAGCTGCGTCCGCGCCTGGGCCCTGGGCCCTCAGTGCTCCCGTCTGCCTCCCACAGGCTCCCGCTCTCCAGGGGGTGAGCCCAGGGGAGAACCATGAACGAGGCGAAGGAGTCCCTCCGGAGCATCGAGCAGAAGTACAAGCTGTTCCAGCAGCAGCAGTTCACCTTCGTGGCGGCGCTGGAGCACTGCCGGGAGAACGCCCACGACAAGATCCGGCCCATCGCCAGCATCGAGCAGGTGAGGGCAGGGGCAGGATCCTGGGCCCCGCCAGGCCAGAGATTCCCGGGCGGCAGCAGGCCCGGCCCTCGCCTGAATGATGAGAAAACTGAGGCCGAGAGAGAGGAAGCATGCTCGTGCCAGAATCAGGATTCAGATCCTGGCTGGGGGGACGAGCCGTACATTCTTTCCCTCGCCACGCGTGGGAGCCACTATAGCAAAGCATTAAAAATGTGGGCTCAAGACTCAGCCGGCCAGGGCTTACATCCCAGCTCTACCCCAGGCCACCTCCGTGACCTTGGGCCAGTGGCTTGCCCCTCTGTGCCTCAGTTTCCTCATCTGTAAAGTGAGAAGGCTCAGTGGAGGCTTTTGTAACAGCGGCCCCACAATCTGACCCTCCATCTGAAGTGTCGGCTCTCCGCCCTCACCCTGCCCTCCGAAGGTCGGGCGCACACCACAGGCGGCCAGGGGCGCTGCTCTGTTGTGGTTACAGCACATCGCTCCGCTCCGGGCGGGCGGGCGGGCGT